TTCCTAATTTCTTAGGAAGTTCATGGTAATGCCATCATCCCACAGATGCCCTGAAGGAGTAGAAATATTCCTTCAATCTCTTCCTTTTTCTTCATGGCACTGTGTAAAGGAGCATTATTTTCATTATTTTATTGCCGGTCTTAATGCTGGTGGGTTTTGGTTCAGGTGAGCAAACAGCTTTTGGGCTTTTTCTAGAATAAACACAGAAATTTATTAAAACCTACAAGCACAGCTGCCAGCACTGCATGCAGTGTTTGGTGTCCCCTTGTAGAATTCAAATGAAATTACGGGTTTTTTTAACTCCAAGGGCTACAACTGAAGTCTCATCTGTTCTTTTTGTTCCTTTTCCCCTTGCTTTGCCCCCCAGGTTGTGGCAATACTTCAGAAGTTCTACACAAACAGTGCAAATGCACTGGGGTTAAATTTCATCAACGAGCTAGTCGTGAGGTTCCGTCACAGCTCCAAGTGGGTTGGAAGACAAGCCTTTGCCTTCATTTGCCAGGTTGGAATGTTCTCTCTCTGTTTCTGTGTGTACATTCCATTTAGAGCCAGTTTGGGGCTTTAGCTGCAATGTGGGCAAAATTGGAATCTGGACTCCCAATGTTTTTTGTCATTTCTGGGCTCTGATTCTGGGGGTTGACAGGGCTGGTCCAGCTCAAAGCTGTGTCTTTGGGGCTGTGCCTTCAGCTGCAGTGGCTGAGCCTTGGACTTCCTGGTATCCCAGTGCTTAAGCCAGGAATTAAGTCCCAAACTGAGATGCGTGTTTTTAATACCTGGCCATGCAAAGAAAAAGGGTGACAAGAGCTCTTCAAATTACCAATGGGTGCTACATGCCAGGAACTATTTCCTTCTTTATTGCTGCTTACCCACCCCCTCCAAACCAAAAGTGCTTCATTCAGTAGCAGTGGGGAGCAAGGGTTGAATGTTCCAAGGCAAAAGGGTGATGACAGCCAAGAGAGAAACACTTTCTAAAATATAGCCGAAAGAAATTTGCTGTTGTTGGATCATCTTTGGCTGAACTTTGGAATGGTAAGATGTTTTCAGAACAGGAGTTCAAGGGCTGTGCTTATTTCACCCACACAGGGTAGGGATGTTCAGAGCTTTTCTTTATTAGGCCAAATGAAGGACAGGATGGAAAGAAATGGCACCCATTGTATTTTAACCCCAAATCTTGCTTTGCTGTGCCGTGTCTGTCCCTAGGCCGTGGTGGAAGAGGAGTGCATGCCCGTGGAGCAGTTTGTGGAGCACTTGCTGCCCAGTCTCCTGAGCCTCGCCTCAGACCCTGTGCCCAACGTCAGGGTCCTGCTCGCCAAGGCCCTCAGGCAGACACTGCTGGAGAAAGGTGTGCTCATGAATTCCCTTGGAAAGGGCCAGCATCTCGGGAACGCTGGCTTTCCTCTGCTCAGTTCATTGCAAGGCTCTCAAACAGGATCACACATTGGTCTCTGGGATACCGCGTTTAAATTCGGACTTGGGAGCGTAGATTTAGGAATTTTAGGAGTGGCTTTTCAGCCCTGGAATATGGGATGATCCTCCCTAGAGGGCCTGAAGTGGCGTTGTTAATCCAGCAGGACCCACTTGGGGGCGCTGTGGCCTCGCCGAGAGCGGCCGAGGCGGCTGCAGGGTTTGGGATCCATCGTTACAGTTTCCTGTGTTACCGTTCATTAAAAACAACAAAATAACCCCAAAATATCCCTGGTTATTCAAAGAAAGATGCACAGAAATCTCTCCTATCTTTTTTCAGAATAAAGCATGGAGAAGGTTTTGGATAGCACTGTACAGTGGCAGGTTCCTGAGCCTGCTTTCGCTTGTGGAGACATTTCCGTTTTGGGCTCAGCAAAAAAAAAGAATTCTCTTTAGAAGTATTTAGGTACCTAACAAGATGAGTCAGAAGCAGCATATTTTTCCTTCTCTGTCAGCTTCCTTGGCTTCCTGTAGTTTCTGTAAGGAGACTGTAAATTGGATAAGCTGCCCCAGATGTTTTTGGCATCCTCTGTATTTCTGCACTATTTTTCCCTAGGGTTTGTTCTTTTGAATTTGATTAAATTTGTCTTTTTTCTCCCCTTATTCTAGCTTATTTTAAAAGTGTTGGCAATCCTCATCTAGAAGCTGCAGAAGAGACCATTCTGGCCCTGCAATCTGACCGAGATCAAGATGTGTCTTTCTTTGCCACCATAAAACTAAAACAGGGTAACCTGGACAATATTACCATTGACAAACAAAACTGACGAGTTGTTCTGCAGCAGGGGCTGAACAGCAGGACAGTTGTTCACCTTGTGGTTGTGCTGGTGTGAGTAATGTGGGCAGATAAGGTGGGTTCTGTTACCTGTTTGAGCAGGAAATGTTCCAGTCTTCGTTTCACGACCTCATTTCCTCTGCCCCGCTGTGTTTGATTCCCATGAGTAATCCCGTCTGGTTTTCCCTCTGTAAATGTGGGTGATGGCTCTGATCTCACCTGCAGCTCAGTATTATCTGTAAAGTCTTACAGCACACTCAGTGTTTCAGTGTTAGTTGGAATTCACATTTCATTTTTGAACAAAACAAAACATTTCCAGTAACACCAGGCTGCTACAAGCTTAAAATGGTTTCTGATTCTTAAAACCTGATTATAACAAACTTCTCTGAAGCTCTTTCTTTCTTCACCTTGTATTGCAGTTTTTGTATTGTTTCAGCTATTGCATTTATTTGAAAAAAGTGTATATATGTGAATAGTTTTGAATTGTAACAAAAAATTAATGAACTGAATTCTGTATCAGTGGAAAAAGCTCCTAAAACATTTCATTTTTTAAAGTAGTTACACTGCTAGAATTAAGGCATGGGTCATTTTTACTTAATATAATGTGATATTTTTCAAAGCACAGAGAGGTCAAGATTCTTTGTATATTGTGACATTTCTATTAATTTGTTACTTCTGAGCTACACTCTTACAGGTGTTAAATCATAACAACAGCCCTGTTATTTCTGACCACCCTCACACGTCACTTGGTGTTACTGCTGACTCTCCTGGGGTAGGGAGAGTGTAGATTTCCCAAGTGGAAAGTTCCTCATTCTGCCCCAGCAAAGGTCACTTCAGCTGAGGGATTCAGTTCGTGCAGCACATTCTGTGTCTGTACAAGGGTGTCACAGGGTGTTACAGGCTGCAGTTTGTTTGTTTTACTCGCCTCGTTTAACAAACACCTTTCAACCTGCCCAGTGTTTACATCCCAAACAGCTTTTCCTGAGAAACAAAGGACCTCTAAATCCTGAAAACCCCCGGATCAGAACCGTTCCGGGGAGAGGTGGGGACAGTTTGCTCTGTGACTTCTGTGGATTGGTTGGTGAGGTTGGGGGCAAACCCCAAAGGAAGGTTACTGCAGGTAAGGGGAAGCAGGAGGTCCTCTGTGTCCTGACACAGGGGTTTGGAAGAAAGAAAAAAATATACAGATAGAGCAGAGTTGTGGTGGGAAAATTGAATAACTGGGGACAGTTGGAAAAATGATAAAGCCAATACTTTTGCTGGGCCCTGGATCCCAAATCTGCAATAATGAGGGGCCTGGGAGGGGAGAAAAAAAAAAGCCATTTTTATAGTGGGGATTGAAACTGTCCTGTTCCAAAACTAATGCTTAAATACTAAAGAAATGGCTCCAGGGGGTAACAGTTCCTTGCTGAGGAGGGTCCTTTTCCTGCCCAGACCTACATAAGGTCTCCCCTCGTGTCAGTCAGAGTTCACATGGGGAAGGTATAACAGAAATGGCTGTGGTGGCTGGGTTTGAGTGGGCTCATCTGCAGTACAAGGAGGTTCCTCAGCTGGGTTCTGTGTTTTGGGAGGGCTCAGTTGTGTGGAAGTTCACCTGTCATGTATTATATAACCTGTACAGTATTTGTAACAAGTGGTTTCCTTGTGAGATCACAAACTGCTCTTTGGGACTGCAGGCAGAACTCGACCACTGCTTCTGCAGCAAACACTGTAAACTCTGTAAACTCTTTAATGTTCTACATTTAATTTTTTACAGTTTTTTTTTTCTTTTTTATAATTTAAAACAAATACTTCTTCAGTACAGACTTTTTATGATTGGTATTTCTTAACAAAAAGACCCCTCAAGTTAATTTTTTCTAGTTTGAATATCTTTTTCTAATGCTGGCATTATACTGGTATTTTCTAACAGTTCAGATTTTGTAAGGCCTTTCTGACAAGGTTTGACTTCTGTTTTTTATTATCAGTTCCTTAAATTTCTCAGCACTGAACAGATTTTTTTTTTAAAGTGTGTGTATATGTAAGTATGTTTGAAATACACTGTATATAAATTAAATACCTTGAACATAACCCAACCCAGGTTTCTGTTTGTCAGATCACCTTAAATAGTTTCCTTGACTTGCAATAATCCCCTGGAAAACACAAGCTTCCATATGTTTAGCATGTTTGGTTAGTGATCACTAGGAGTTTTAACTAGACGTGTGTAAAGGGTAAGCCACCAGCTATAAAAGTTCTCTAAAAGGCTAAAGAAAGCTCTTTGTTTTTAACAATATTTTGGTACCTCTCTGGCTCCCAAATTCCTGTCAGTTTGAACAATAAGATTTCAATGGAGCGTTTGAAACCCTTCTGTCACAGCTGCATGCACTGACGGGGGCCAGCACAGTTTTGGGGTGGGGTTTTTTGTAGCCTGTGCAGGGCTGTTAAACAGATTTACCCTCTCCAGGTTTGTCTTTTGGCTTGAGTTCTAAACTAGAGGTGGTTTCAGCATGACTAGGGCTGCACTTTACGTCTTGTCCAGGACAAATGGACGCAGTGGGCACAGCGGGGTGTTCACTGAGGCCTCTGGGCTCTTCAATTATGCAAAGAGATGTCTTTGAAAAGCCAGCTGGGGCAAAGGGGGGGCTCACAACAGCAGGGAGAATATCCCTCCATTCCTGGCCAGGGCACGTGACAGTAACGGTGATGGGTGCAATATTGCTGGGGTGCTGCAGGGAATGCTCAGGCCCCTGTGATGCAGAGTGTGTCGGTGCTGCTCCCAGTTCAGCCCCCTGGTGTCGCTGGTCCCCCGTGGGACGTCCCCGTGGCCTCGGCTGCGTCTGTGCACGGTGGGGTTTGGACCTGCTTAAGTGGGGACACTCTGGAAGTGTCTCTTGTTTGTCAGAGTAAAGAATCTATGTAACTTTCTATTTGTATTTATCTCAATAAATCCGTGACTGTTTTATAAACCATCTTGTGGTGGGTGAGATGTTTGTGTGTTCCTTGGGTTAATGAAACATCTTTCAGGTGTCTGACCAGGGCTGAATGTGGAATTTTTCATACTGAGCTGTAAAAAAAAAATCCATTAGGTACCCAGAGTTGCAAATTAGCTCTTCTTGCACTTTTTCCTCCAAGTGAGCATGCCACAAGTGCTTCAACTCATCCTGATGGCTGGAAAACGCCTGCATTATTTTAATTCAGCTGTCTGCCATTTTACATGTCACTTTCTCAACAAGATGCTTAATCCAGGTGGTTTTGTATAGATAGAAGAAACAACACAAAGAATGCATAAAATCCTTTTCCTTGGTTATCTCAAAACACCATTAGAAGGCTGAGGTTGCCTGCTCTTGGGTGTTCCTGTGAGGCCAAGGGCCTTGGCTGTGTTATGAGAATCAGAGGCACAAACTGTTTGATATCCCTGTGTATTAAAGGTTCTCCCTACCAGGTATAAAGCAGGAAACAGAAGGATGTGCCTCAAGAACAAAGGGTCTCCTTTCAAATGGAAGGTGTGTTGGCATAAGAGCCCCACAGAAAGACTGGTGACACTTATTTTTGAGAAATAACCATTCAGCTTCCACTTAGAGCTGAGAAAACCACCGTGGAAGATGCAGCCCAGCATGGAAATGGTTTTGCCGGAGGACCAGCAGCACGAGCACCTGAAAATTGCTCCTGAGAGGCCTCTCAGCAACCCTGCAGAACTGATGTTTGGGTTTATTACCAAAAGAAAAGCTCTTCCTGAAAGGAATGTGATACAGGATTGTTTCTCAGGTAGTCTGGGTTTAGGAGCTGTCTCTGGAATTGAGGCCCAAGGTCTTGGCTGCCTCTTGTAGAGTCTGGGCTCACGTGGCCAGTGCTGGGTGTCCTCTTGCCCCAAAGCTCAGGTCAGCTTCCAGTACACTTAAGAGGAGGACTGCAAAAAGGAACAATTTCTAGATGATTTTTATAGCACTTAATAGCTACAGATGAAAGGAAAAGCCAAAATAATGTTCCCTCCAAGGGATAGCTGAGAGTAAATGTCATTGGAGAGCAGAGAATCAAGTGGGGCAGAGTAACAGGACACAAGCAGGGAGGGGGTAGCTGATCCAGGGGGATTCCTGCAGTGAGCAAGCAGCCCTGGTTGATAGCTGAGAAGAATAGCACTGAAAGGTCTGTGTTTATTCTGCAGAGCCCACCTGGGAGTCACTGAGGACTCGACAGGCACCACATGGAGTTCCCGGGAGCAGAGCAGAGCAAGGAACGAGTGGAGCTTCCCTGGAACTGGCTGTGGCCAGCACAGAGGTCGTGTGGGAAGGGCCAAGTTTCTCCTGAGACGTGGTAATGCTTGGGGACCGATCCTCCTCTGGCACAGCAAACCCCCTTCCTGCTTCCCAGGCTGCAGAATCGCCCCTGAACGGCCTCGTGTGTTTTGTGTTTGGGGAGGGGAGTGTGTTCACCCACCAGTGCTGAGGTGGAGACAGGAATAACTGATGATCTTTTACAATGAGCCATCTATTGATGGCACTTCCCTGCCTGTGTGGATATAGAACTTGTTAGCTCAGGCAATTTTTAAGCAGAAAGAAAGAGAAGCTTCTTGTTGTACCTGTTCCCTATTTACCAAGAGACACCAGTGGTGCAAACACTGTGGCAGTCCGTCCATTCACTTCTTAAAATGATCCAAATGGGCAGAAACTTAAATGCCAGAGCACTTACAGCTTGTAAAACCCCACAGACATCAGGATAGTGGTACTGATTGGGCTCTTGCATGTTGTTTTTCTCTTAGGAAAGAGAACTGTAGTCAGCTTGCAATCTCCCTGACATTGTTCGTGAAGGAAGCAGACAAAAAGTACCAACGAAACAGAAGGGCTGCAATTTAGTTAATTTATGCAAAACACAATCAGCATTCAAACTGGGAGTTACCAAGCAGAAATGTATTGATAGAAAAGCCAAAATATTCTCTGTGCATAAATTGTGAAATATTTAAAATAGAATTTCAAGAGACTCCTGGAACTCCCCTGACTAGAGGCCAGAGAAGATGCAGCAGTGAATTCCCGAGGAGTGCAGAGGTACTGATTTAATCCCTGACACCTCAGGCTGGAGCAGCTCTGCTGGGACACAGGAACTGGTATCAGTAAGGAAAACCAAACAGCTTTTTCAGAAGAGGGATTAGAAGGGAGGGTGGTTGCTCATAAAAGATGGTTGCAGAGGATCCGTGCTGGGAGAGGGAAGAGCAGTGAGGAGGGACTAAAGGGCAGAGAAATGGGAGGAACTGCAGGTGGGGAACATCATTCTGAGGGTGGTTTGTCTAGAGCCCAATCCGCACAGAACCTGTGCACACACACTCTCTCTGCCTTCATTTCTGGGCTCTGCAGAGTTCCTGAGTTGGGAGCACAGCGTTCAAAGGCAGCCAGAATCCACAGGGAGCTGTGCCCGAGGATCCTGCTGACCAGGAACGTTTCGAGAGGAAGGTGGTTTGCAGAGGGGAGCCAAAAGCTATTAACTTTCTCCTGTGCTTCCAGCAGCCCGTTTGGGTTGGTTTGGTGCCTGAGCCAGGCTGCAATTGAGGTCAGTGCTTTGGTTTCCCTTCAAGCTCCAGTTCTCTATACACTGTTCTGTTTGTAACGTTTGCTTGACATGACTGTCTGCTCTGGGTTGAGGGTGTTTTTTTAGAATTCCTGTGTGTACAAAGCTAATAAAGGAACTGTCAGCTCAGAAAGCCCCTCTTAAAATACAGCCCTGCTGGTTTGGGGTAAGAAATGCACAGATCCCTTGGCCAAGCCTCCTCTGTGGAATTTGTGATGCTGTTGCAATTCCTTTGGCTTCCAGTAGCCAAACAACCCCTGGGGTCAAGCAGAAGTCAAGGTATAAAAATGGCTGGCTGTGAGCCCCTTACCTGTCAGCTGCCACGTGTTGGAGGGATGTGGGGACTGCAGCCCTTCTGCTCCCTCAGCTGCTGAGTGTTTGTGGGCATAATTCAAATGTGTGTGTGTGTGTTTGAATTCCAGCTTTTATTGATTGAATTGGTCCCTGATAATAAACAGTATAAATAAATCAGGTGGGAGTTAAAGCATTGGGGAGGGGAAAATTAAATTCAGTGCAGTGACCTCGAACAGAGTGTAATTTCAGAAGTGCCTTAAATATGCTGATGGCATAAAATAAGGCTGGGGAAGTTGGAGGGGAGGGGAGAGAGAACAAAACAAAATGATTTGGATTTATCAGGATTGCAGGCATATATGGCTTATGCAGTTTATTGTAGGGGAGTGTCAGTCATGAGGCCAGGGACCAAAAGTGATTGGAGAGCCGTGGGAATGAGGGGGATGTGGACACAGATCTGAGCATGGGCAGCACCAGGGAAGGCTCTTCCTGGGAGCAAAGCAAAGAGGAAGAGGATGGGGGGGATACAGCCATGCCAGCAGGAATTACAGGGACAGTCAGGCCTTGTCAATTGGTGTAAAACATTAAAACATGCAGGAATTCTCTCGGGCTGCTTTGATAAAGCCAAAACTTTCCAGAGGCTGAGACGAGTGTGGGGCTGTTGCAGGTGAAGAGAGGAGAATCCAGCTTTTGATGTTACAGGAAACAGGAGCTGTAACTGAGCTGCCTGATAGTTCATGGTTAGTTCATCACACTGACTTCAAACTAGAAAAATAACAAAATGCATTGTTTTGGACTGGTGAGCACCCTGACAGCCCCAGGAAGGCAGAGAGAAACTGGAGAGTCCTTCCAGTTGGCTCATGTAGAGGTAGACCCCGTAGGTTTGAAAGTACTAGTTTTCTTCTGGTTTCCTTTCCTTCTTTTTAGTTATTTTAATTTTTTTAATGTTTGATTTGTCCCTTAAATTGTCAGGTTTTTTTCAGTTGTGGCCAAGTAGCTTTTGAAACTCTGCCAAAGGCAGAAGCACTAAAAGGAGAGCTCTGTGCACTGAAGGCCATCCATGTCCTTGCAGCTTCTGTTGTCCTCTCAGGTACCATATTAACTGTCCTTGTTTAAAAGGGCTTTCTCTACCTTGATCTATATCTCTAAATGTCATTTTTACACACATTTCCTCAGAAGAAATCAGATATTTGAAAACATAACCTTCCTGTCTTACCTTGTAGCACCCCAATTTCATTTATGTCTGGAAAGATTCCCAATAGCTGATAATTTCCAGTATCTTAACACCTGAGGCATATCAGTAACACCCAGACCTCTCTTTTCCTTTGAGTCCTCCCTGCCTGGTGCTGCATCACAGGAAACCCATCACTGTTTGGAAGCCACAGGTTTAGTTTGCTATAGCTGAGTAGGACAGGGTTCTGGGAGAGGCTGGACACGCTCTGAAATGTGTTCTGCCCCCCCCGAGCCGGCTCCTCCTGGGACTGCTGCTGCTGTTACAGTCACGGAGACAGAGGGGTGACCTCCACCTTGGTTCTCCCTCTGTTCTCCACAGCAAGCAGTCAGCAGTAGCTGGAATCTGCATCCTTGGAGTTCTGTTGTCAGTTTGGGCTGTTGTCACACACTTAGCCAATACCCTCCAGGAATTTTATTTCTTATTCACATGCACACTTAATGTCCTTCGTCATTAGACTGAAGAATGTTAACCTTGTCATAGTTAGTGACTGGAAGCAGAAAAGTCCTTTTAATTCTCAGGGGAATGAATTCTAATTTTCTGCTTGTCAGAAAGTGACATTTTACATATTTTTCTCTTATTTTCCCCACCAGTTTAGTGCTAAATTTAAATGTGTGTGTCACAGGAACAGACCTTTAGTCTGTGCTAAACACCCCAAAAGCCTTGGCTGGTGTCCAATGTATGAGAGCCTTGACCAAGAGCTGCTGCTAAAGCTCATTTCATGCACTGCAGAGAAGGGGAGGTGAGGATGGGAAGCTGGAGATAAGGGGTTATCTCAGAGGGCACATTAACATTGCATGTCAGGATGCGTTTTTTTTTCCCCTCTAAAATATGGATGGATGAAAAGCAGCTCATCTGGAATAAAATGTCCAGTGAAGAAACAAATTATGTTAATCAAGCAGACTAGTATTTGTCATAAAGATGTGACACCTTCTATTTAATGTCACAAACTACTGGGAGCCTTTGAAAAATGTCCTGGTGGGAAGGAAAGTTCTCTGCAGATACTGAGTTCACTGTTCTATGAAAGGGAATAACTTGTCTTGAAAATTAGATGACATTTATGGCAAAGAGAACTAATCCTCCCACAGATTACAGCTGTTCACTGCATTGTTGTGCTGGTGGTCTTATCAGTGGATATTTTATAAGGTTCTTTCCTTTTTTTTCTTCTTTTTTGGATGCAGGTCCGTAAGCCTGTTCTGAGGAGGACATTGTGTGCTGGGAGCTGGATGTATTTTGAGAAAGAGACACCACTACAAAGAACTCTTGAGTTTAAATTGCAAAGATGGATGAGGTAAAATTGAGGGATGGTTATTTTGCTTTTCACAGATGGGAGCTGAAGCAGGGGAGGTGACTGTTGTGGCCAAAGTCACCCTGGGAGTCCGTGGAATTGCATCCTGATCTTTGAAGTACAGTTCCAGTATTTTACCATATATTGTCTGTGTGTTCCCTTGCTGATGAATGTGCACTGATATGCACATGTGTCATGAGCCAAACATGTTCTGCATGTGTTTAGCCAAATTCTGACCTGAGGGACCTGAGGAGTGTTTCCAGGGCTGTAAAGAAAAGCAGTTGATTTAATTGAATTATGCCTTAAAAAAATCTGTAATTTTTCAGGGAAGACTGAGGTGAACCAGGTGAACAAAGTGACCTTTTGGAACCCAAGGACAGGACCAGCTCTGCAGTCTGGCTGTCACTGCCCACATGGGACTGTTCAGGAAGGAGCTGATCTCAAGCTGTCCATGGCTAGTGCCTACCCCAGTCAAATACTGATTTTCTCAGCACTCCTACTTAAAAAAAAACCAAAAGGGCAAACAAACACGGTGAAAGACCTGTTTTGGTCAGACCTGTCGTGAGAGTTGGTGAAAGTTTTCTCATTTGCACATAAATAACTGGAATTATTATGGACACAGCTTCTTGGAGAACAAAATAATAAGCACTGTCCCTCGCCAGCCTGTCAGTTGTATCTTGGCTTCTCCTGAGAGACTGTAAATTGGTGGGGTTTGTTCATTAGCAGTGTAATGTGAAGGTGGAAGCTGTAATGCACGTGATGGGAGCACAAGAAATTACTTCGGCTTTCACTGAAACAAAGGACATGACTGTGCTCTGGCAATAAGAGCATAATGGCTGTTTAATTTTTCCAGACAGGGACTGGAGCTCACTGGGGGGGTTTTTTGGGCTCTTGCTTTGTTTTTGTTTTTGCTCCAGCTTTTCAGGATGAGAATGTTGTGTCTGACGCGTATCAGCGAGCACAGGAGATTCACTGGCGGAGCTGGGTCCGTCTTGCTCCCCGGTGAGAAATAAAAGCATGAACCGTCTCTCACTTCGGGAGGAGAAGGGAGGGCTGTTCGCAGGCTGCGGGAAGTGCGAAGGCATTGTCAGGTCTGGGGCAGGCGGAGCCGGGGCTGTGCCGGGCTCTCGGCAGGGCCCATCAGCCGGGTGTCACTCGGCAGCCTGGAGGCATCTCCGGGAACAGCCGCGACAGAAGCGCGGGGGGCGAAGCTGCCGTGTCTGTGGTGGTGCAAGGCTGTAACAATGAGCGCTGTGGAGAGCAGACACGGAAATGGATAAAAGAATAAAGAGCCTTTATCAAGGAAGCAGAGAGAGAAAATGGCCACTTCTACACTCCCCACGTTTGGATGCTCAGTAATGCTGGTATCAGGGCTGGTAAAAACTCTGCTGAACAGCTGCTGTGCCCACATTTCATCCCAGCCCGGTACCTACAAGGCCTGATCCTGCCCTCAGCTGCTCCAGGGATTCTGGTGTCAGTGGGGCCACTGAACTGAAAAGGATGGGTGGGGAATGAAGATTCTGTTCTGTTTATTTCTTCATGGTTGCATCTCAGGTTTATTTCAATCTTTAGATTTATTTCCCTTTAGGGAAGCAGATAAAGCAGGGAGGGGGGAAACATGAGGGACGGGGCCACATTCAAAGGGGAGTGGCAACTTCAGCTGGGTGAACTCAGTTTTTGCCTTTGTGTTTGATTGAAAGTTTGGAGAGTTGTTTTCCCAAAGTTCCTGATTTAGTCCTTTCTATGGATGACAGAGCAGACTGAGGGCGATGTTTTGTTCACTGGCAACCCGAGCAGTTTCAAAGCACAACAGTATCATTTTCCAGCACAGTTACATTTATTACAGTGTGGTCCTGGGAAATGGGCTGACACACTTTCAACTATCCAAATAACAATCTGATGGGATGTGGAAACCACAGGAGCCAGGGAGAAGGTGGGAGTCTGGGAGTGGGTCTTGCCTGTCTTGCTCCAGGGACAGGGTTACGTGGAGAAGAAAACACAGCACGTTTAGGCCCCAGTGCAGGAAGGGCAGGATTCACTGGGGATTCACAGGATTTCTGGTCAGGTAACACTCCCCCTGTGCATTAATGTTTGTCACTTTGGTACTTTGTGGAAGAAACCACAATGAATCCTTCACTACAGGGAGAAATAACGTGTGTGAAAGGGGAGCTGAGGTCTCTGAGAAGGGTTTTTAAAATCTGTTTTGTACAACAAACAGTGTAAGAACTGAAGTCACTCCAGGCTGACAGAGCAGCCAAAAGCAGCAACTGGAGACAGGAGTGCAGTGGGGATCATCAGGAGTCACAGCATGGAACTGGAGGAATGTAGCATTGTGTCTTGCAGAACACTGATTAGTTTATTCTCCAAGCACCCACCTTTTACACTCACTGCATCACTTGCCTGTGCACATCCTGTGGTTGCTTTTCATTCGGGTTCATTTTGAAGGAAATTCTGAGTGTTACTTATTCAGAATTACCATTTCAATTATCATCGAATCAAAAATCTTTTATTCTCTGATGCAAAATGCATTTTAAATAAATAATAATAATCTTTCAACTTTGAGTCCCTGGTAAAATGTCTTATATTAATGAATTTATAAATAGCAAGTGCCAGTTCTATGCCAATTCTAACAGCACAGAAAAGAACACACTGTGAAGGAAAACACACCAGGTTTTTGTCACCCAGTTTTGTTGTTTGTAATATAAGTGCTTGTGAGAAAGATACAGAATTAAACATTTCTTGATTTTTGCTGCATTTTTGAAGTTGTTTCATTTTGTTTTGAAGCGTTTGCTGGTGTGTGCAGAGTTTACTAACACTGTCCTGACCCTGGAGATGGTGTGGTATTTTATGGTGTGCACTGACCTTTATGTGCCCAACTTGGCTCCCATAAATAGATTAATTTCCACAAATTAAAGGGCAGGTTTGAAACATTACAAGGTGATGGAGCAATTCTGTTCTGGCCTTTAGGATCCACAGTGGGGCCGATGACTGGGCAGTCCTTTGTCAGCTGCAAATCCACAATATAATTTTTTCAGGTATAATGGTAAAAGTGGAAGTGCTGAGAAAAGAAATATTGAGGTTTATAGTTTCACATAACACCAAAACCTTGAACACATGGAGCACTTAACAAGTGACATCTTTATGCTAGAGGAACAAGTTCCAATTTTAGACAATACTCCTTGCACATCCCAAATGAGGCTATATCAAAGTATCTCCTGAAGTAAAGGTACCTTAAATGACAGAAATTATAATAAAAAAAAACCCCTTACTGTTAGTGCAGAGTTAATATTCAGACATTGGGAATAAGACTCAGAAATCTCCAACTGCAGATGCAGGACAAAGACTTTATTTTGGTTTTCAAAATCAAACCATGGTTCATCTGGGTTTGGCTTTCACTTCACACAAACATCCACTGGGTATCAGGTGCCAGCTGTGGTTAATACAACTCTTTGAAAACCAGTGGTCTTGGAGTTCCCCTTTCATTTGGCCTGAATTAATGTCATTTTGTTGCTACTAAGTTACATAACAATCATTATTATACCTGTTTATATAAATCAGACAATTAGAGGATCTTATGACCTTAAAATAAACTGAAGAACCACATGATTAAAATAAGCACAAGATGCAAACCTGGCAATGACCAGAAAGCACATTGATTTAAAGTACTGTTCTTACAATGATCTTGGCTGTTCAAAGAGCAGCTTACCCAGGTTTTAGTTTGTAGCTAAACTGCAATTTAGCTTCAATTTCCAGAGTCTGCTTCCAAGTTATTCTTTATTCTGGTTTTTAAGTAATGTGTCTGGAGTTACTCCTGCTATGTGTTCTCATTCTTGGGTAATCCTTCCAAAGGATGTGAATCACTTCTCCATTATTTGTAAAGAATATGGAAAAAGTAAAATATTATTATTTTGTGGGTATTTGGAACTGGATTAAAAAAAAAAAAAAAAAAAGGTGGGCTGTTGATCATTGTGAGTCATTTCTTGGGAAGAAGGGAAGAACAAACACTGGCTGCTGACTGACTGCTCAGAAAGCCAAGCACTTAGTGCTGACTCAAGGGGTAGATACTGATAGAGCACAAAGGAGATCCTGCAGCAGGATTAAAAAGCAAAGTCTTTCCTCTCGAAGCAATAAGGAGTTAGAAGGAGCTGCCTGTGTTGACTTCTTGCAGGCTCCTTTTTGTTTAAGCAACCTTCTAGTTTAAACATGTTGGCCAATTAGAATTATATCCTGCTGCAACCAACTGAGCCTCCCTCGAGTTTCCAAAAATCCTGGCCAATCTGCAGGGGATGAAGTGCAGGACTGAACTCCACAACGAGGGGGAGCTACACCTGTAACTCCCAGTGCAATCCCCTGCTGTTTCGGGCTATTTGACCTGTCCTGGTTGGGACAAACATTGGCACACACAAAACTGCAGTGACATAAATGCCTTGTGACCCATCTGCATTCTGATCAACTAAATGAAAAAAAAACGTTTTGATACCAAAACTGATTTTTCAAAGTGATTTCGTGTCACTGTGGCCCTTGCACACTTTATTTGTGTACTGGGAACCACTCAATGTGTGTAACTACACAGAATACCTGCAGAGAACACACAACACAAACCCCAGTGTATTTTATGATAATTACTGAACTACACTTATGGCTTGCTTGCTTTTTTCAAGCTCCAGTGGACACACTGTGATGAAGCCTAATAATTTGGTTTTTTCTGCAGGTGTTTTTTGTTTGTTTGCTGTGTGTTGGGTTTTAATGAGGAAAGCTTCTCTCCAAATGCAAGGATGCAGTCCCATGGCAGCCTGAGCCAAGCCATGCCTGACACCCTCCTCTGCATCTTCTCATCCTCTCCGTACAGGAGATGGTTTCGTGCCAGCACAGACACCTGAGAACTCAACAGTGGGCCAGGTCTGTGCTCACTGGAAATTAATTCTAAACACAGATTCCAGCACTGGTAAGTGATGAACTGGGAATGAGCAGTGCAGTTGGAGTGTCAGGAGCATGGCAGTCTGTATTTATATCTGAAGAAGCTGCTGTGAAACTGAGTATGAGTGGAGGATCTCATGGAGAAACAATAATAAAAATCTGCTCTGTCATTCCAACTTGCAATAAATACATTTAAATTGTAGTCTTATTAATGGGATCTTTATCTGAGTGTATTCATTATTATTTTGAAGTGAACCTAAAGCAGAGTTAACAGCTTGAATGCCATAGATTTCAAGTAATTGCTACCAAGCAAAATGCTACATGAGAATACATTTACCAAAATGATTGTGGATGTTTCCATAAATCCCTTGTAAAGCTTAAATATTCAACAGTCCAAGGGTCCACTGTAGGAGTTTTCCTAGGACTGCAAATGGATCTGAGTGCCAAATCTTTATTGCATCATGTCAGTGAGGGGCTCACGTGGTCAGTTCAGGCTCCTGCCGAGGGCTCCTTTGCAGCTCCGGATCTGATAATCGATCTCGAGCTCCAGCCCTGGGACAGCCGATCTCCAGCCAATGAATCTCTGCGTGGTTTTAGGCACTGGAGGGGATGGAAGCACCTAAAATGAAAGGAACATGAAAAAATTAATGATGAAATGGTTTGTGATTGGAATGGCTGTCATGCAACGTCATCTTTTGTGCTGTCGTGTGGATGGAAATGAGAACTTAAAAAAACAGTGGTTCCAAATGTTGAGTTAATATCCTGCAAACATTGACACGAATGAAAGGAAACAAGAACTTTGAAAGACAGCCCAGGTGCATGCAAGTTTGATTTGTAACACATGATAGTTTATAATTTAATTAGAATAATTTAGGTCCCATTCTACAGCAAGACACAGGGAAAGAGAGAAGTACAAGGGACAAATTCCAACACAGCCACTAACTTTCATTTACCACCCTTCTAAAACCAAAAAGCAAATTATTGTTTAGTAGTGTATGTTAGCAGTCTTTTTTTTTTTTTAGTTGGGCTCAAAACTAAGGGCTTTAGTGGCTTTATATTCTTAGGAGAGGAATTTTATCTTTGTCTTTAGCTTTTTTCCATCCAGAATAATCATCTTTATCATCATCATCTTTAAAACTAATTAACTTCTCTAAACAGGAGAAATGGTGTTTTCTAGTTGCTGTAATATATTTGGTAGCAGTGCAGCCATGGAATAATTATGTTATGTCCAAATGCTAAAGATGTTTCTGACCAAGCTGGCTTTTGCATCAAGAACTCCTTACTCATTCCACCTTCTTTCTACTTTAAAAGATGGGTAAGCAGCAAGTTAATCTGCAAGTAATCTAGCTAAGGAGGAAACAAAACAAAAGGCAGCAGTGTCTGCTCAGTGACTGCTGTGCTTACTTTGGCTGAATCATCTCTCTCGGGCACGTTCTATCATTTTAGCATCTGGGGACTCAGCAGAGAAATACACAGCGAGAGAACAATGTTTCAGTTCTCGTGCCAGAGTTGCTTCACTTTGTTCTTTGGCCAAGATTAGAAAACGTTTATGATATTTAGGTGGAGCAGTTCCTCAAAAAAGATAATTTTTTATGGCCAAAAGTGCCACCCACCGAGCAGGATAATGAAGGGAATCATGTCCCACTTTGGATCTGGGGGAAGGGACTGTGAAGCAGCTTTTACTGCTCTGACCTAGAGAGGGGAAGGGATATGGCTGTTACCATGAAGGTAAATGTGCAGAAAGACAGTTCTGAACAAGGGGTAAGAAACTTCACTCTGAACATGTAAAGAGAGACCTAAAGCACAGCTAACCCTGATCTTCCTCCAAATGACAATGGGTGATTGTTAACAGACACCCTGACAGCGCTGAAAGCTGACTGGAACGGGCCCTTCACTGAACCTGCATGTGTGAGATTGTACAGACTGAACAACGAGCAGCACTAATGGCAGAAATGATGCCATTTCATTTCTCTGCCACACTCAGCACTAGCATTTAATTTTTGTTTCAATTTAATCTCAGTAAAAGCTTTTACAACTTCCTTACCTTATCTCCCCACCCTTGGAATCCTTTGAAAGAAAGCTGGCTCAGCAAGTAAGAATTTCCAGTCTCCTTTGTTTCCTTAATCTTCTTTAAGTGGACTCACCTTCTTTTCTGTTGGCACCTCCTTACCCTCCTATGAGTATATTCCTCTCCCAGTGTCACTGCTTTATTTGCCTGTGTAGTTACCCCATTCATTGGTGATTCTCACTCAGTATATTCAGAAATTAAACCTTCACATTCTACTGTCCTTTCCAGCTGTTTGACATTTCTATAAATCATATAATATAAAATCAAATAACTATTACTTTGCTCATCACAACTGGCTTCTTATTAATTTGTGCCACTCAAGAGGACAGTGGCATTGTCTGTGCCAACAAGAAGACTCTCTTAAATAAAAGTAGAAAAATTACAACCACATCCAAAGGGCAATTCCTTGTCTTAAACAAATGCTTTTAGAGAATTGCTCGGGTTGCAAATGCAGTTTACTTTGACCTTTACTTACAGACCCACCTCTACAAGACAACTGGCTTGTAGAGCTTGTGTGATTTCCTACAAGAGATGTTGTTGTATTACAATTTAAAATATAATTTTCTAACCTTAATGTATTTTTCCACAGGTGTCACAGGGCGAATCCGCATGTGTTCTGGAAGCTCTATCTTGGGCTTCGCTTCCTTTTTTTCATCTCCTATCAACTAGAACCAAAACATAATTAAAATCTGGACTCTATATATTTTGAAATAGACTGTAATATGTGTTATCCACACCACTCCCCTCGTTGCATCTGAACTTCCTGTTCTTTCCATCTCAAGCACTTACTTCAGTGCTTTGGAAATTACTGGATGTTTTTTGTTTCAGAAAGTGATGTTATTCTGAATTTCAGGTGGAAGGCTAAATACTGCTGCGACATCATGGGTCCAGAAAGAGCCAGAAATACATCTTATGAATGTATATATGTCTTATATGAGTAGAAAGCAAAGATTAATAAATGCTAAATACACATGTTCACCAACAGCATCTGTGCAAAGCTGGTATGTGTTCCAAACCACAGTCACCCAGGGTGGGTAATGAAACCACGAGGACCAGGTTTCAAAGGTGCTAACTGGGATGCCTTACAGGGATTTTCTAAAACTCCCAGGACAGATTACTTCTGCATTTATAACCATGCAGGGGCTGCATCAACCCTGTCCTTTAGCAATGAAATACTGCGGTTCCAAATGTAACATTATGTGCTACTATATTCTAACAACATCACTGAGAAGAGACATCACTCCAAATATTTTCGTTTGTTGTAAATTCCCCCACTGACAATTTAATTAGCTGGAACCTTTTCCCCTAGATTTTTAAACTACCATATGGGTAGACAAAGGGGAAATATTTTCCTGTCAGTGTGCATCTAGTACTTGTTAACACTATTAGGAGTCATGTTTCTCAAGAGAAATATATCAGAATATGCACAGCATATAAATTACCACTTGCTGTTATTTTATTCAGAGGAAAACTGAGCATTTGAACCCAGTGCAGTTGTTACCTCGGATCCCAGCTTAGCAAAGCCCCCTCAGTACGTTTCTAGTCTTCAGTGCTCGCCTAATTCTGTGTCCAGATAAATTTGTGTGCAGTTAGGATTTCACGTGTTGCTTACATGCCGTTCAATTTTACCTCCTCGAGAGATGTTTTCAAGAACCCCCATTTCTCAGACCATCTTTTTGCAGCATCTCCTTCCTTTTCGACGCATTTTTTCCTGAAACCAACCGAGAAATAGTCAAGATTACTTTGAAAACTTTCATTAAAAAGAAAAAAAACCAACAATACACAAACCCAACCACTAATGCCACAAAGCACAGCGGTTTAGCAGGAACCTTTAGATATTTACATTAAAATTAACTTCTACCTTATTACCGTAACTTGTAACTGCAAGTTTATGTGCGAGCTACCATTGTCTGACTCAGAGGTAACAGGAAAAACACTTTCCATAGGTTTGAAACAGCGCGTGTGAACACAGTGCCTTTAAATTATGTTTGTGAGGAAGCGGAGGAGGCTGAAAAAGAAGCTGCGCTGTTCTTTCAGACATCCTTTCATTTACTGTGGGCTGATTCGATGCCCCCACACCCGGTGGGGGGGATGGAACCTCCAAATACCTTGATTTTTTTTTTTTTTTTTTTTTAACCAAGGCTCGCTCGTGAAAGCGGGCACAGTCTTTAAACACACGCGAAGCGAGCTCAGGAACAACCCCTCCGAGCCGCGGGGAAGGGAGGGCGGGGTTGGTCCGGGGCCGTTACCAGTAGTTGTCCCGCGCTATGAAGTTGCAGGCGGGCTCCACCTGCCCCGGCTCCCGGTGCGCCATGACCCGCCACGGCCCTGAGGGCGCTGAGGGGCGGCGGGGGCGGCGCCCGTGTGGGCGGTCACAACATGGCGGGAGGGGCGGGCGCTGCCGGGGGCGGCCACAAAATGGCGGGGGGCGCGTGAGCCGCCCCTGAGGGATAAGGTTCTCGTGGCTCCGCTCTCCTGTGACACCACGGCCGTTTCTGAGGGGGGAAAAGCATCAGTTCCCCGAGCCGTGTTTTGTTTAGGCCCCTCAGGCCAACGGCGGGAAGCGCGCTTGGTGTTTTCGGTAATTTTTTTTTTTTCTTGTGCGTCTTTTTTTTTTTTTTTTTTCTTTCCAAATGTTAGTAGGAAAGTGAGTTGGGTTAAGCTGGTGAAAAGCTGGTACCTCGCTTGAGGAAGCAGCCGTGTGTCCAAGGGAGAGGTGTTGCCTGAGCTCTGTATCTCGGGTTAGCCGCGCTGCCCTGAGCAGAGAGCTGAACACTGAGCTGAGAGTCCCTTCCAAACCTGGACAAAGGGAGCTCTTCAACAGCCAAAAGCTTGACGTTTTTTAATCGCTGGAAGTGGACATGAGAAATAGTTGAAGGACTCTGTTTTTGATTTTGTTAATCGCTTTGTCAGTGTGCCTGACGCTCAGAGCGTGTGAGCTACAATAGGTGTTTGCTCCTGCTTCCCGTTTTTTTATTCCTGGTTCCTCTTGATACACACCATCATTATCTTTTGGTAATTGCAGTGGGACACAACATCAGTCCTGTGCCCTACAGTGTCCTTCTGATCACTTTTTCTGGTAAATGTTCTTTACAAGCTACATGCCTGTGATAGAAGTTCTGAGAAAGACCTCAACGCACTTTTATGGGTTCTGTGTGAGAACCCAAAAAAATTACAGCTTGTAAAGAGTCCACTGTGTTCCAACACATTAATATTTTTGGCTCTCCATCAATTTTTTTTTTTTTTTTTGGTAATTTTGTTTTCTTGCAGTTCTTTATAAAAGCATTTTGACAATGAGTGCAGCCAACTGGCTCTTTGCCCCCGTGGGTTTAAATAGTTCCCCGACCTCTTTCCTTTGTCTGGAGTTTGACTTGTGCAAACACACTGTAAATAGTTAATGGGACTCTCTAACACCATGGGCAGTTATTATCCTTATTACAAAATAAATTCAGAAAGGTTTGGACTTAAGCTGAGTGGTTTATAGGCAGTGTGTTTGAATGCTTAATTGCTAGCTTTTTTTTAATAGAGTGAAGGATCTAAAGGCCTTAAATACTTAAGTATGAGAAGACTATATACATTTATTAGCCATTACTCTATTTGAGTAAGAGGAGAATGAAAACTCATTCTGTAGTCCTAAAATAGCAATTAATACTGCTCTTCAGGGTCGCTAAAATCATTAAAGTATCAACAAATGGAGTATTTCACTTACATGCCATTTCTTGATTCTCTAATTGATAATTAAGCTAGCAATTAAATCAGCTGAGTCTCGTATCATACCCATAAATGCTTACTCATTGTCCTACTTAATTAACTCCTGCTGCTTAGTCACATTTATCTCAGGAGCCCTCTTACTGCACTGATGCTTTCTGTGAAAAAAAGTAATTTGTTAATGAAACAATCAAATTTGTAGCTTACTGTGTCAGGGCTTAAACTGCAGTAGCGTTTGTCAAGAGAGATGAAACTTCCTACACGAACATTGTGAAAATAGAACTTTAGAATCTTCAAGCCTTTCTCTTTTCTGTACTTAATTATTTCTCAGATAAGGGAATGTAGTAATGAGTAACTAGTTTTAGGTCGTAAGTTCTTAATGAGCACAGGGCAATATTAGAATTGTGCTTGCACTGTGAGAAAAAAGTAAAATAGGATTTTAATGAGCTAATAATGATACTGAGTGACAGGAATACAGGTCCCTTGAGATTCCAAAATCATTTGCTGGAAGTCTGGATCTTGTAGCTACAAACAGCAGTGTTTGTCATCACCTGACAAATGTTGTGGAAGATGCTCCATCTCAGTACTTGGTGCTTCAGGTTGATGACCCCTTCTGACTCAGAATATCCTGGGATTCATGAATCCTGGATCTTCTAAGATGGGTAAATTCTAATCTGGATGTGGCCATAAATGCTGACATTGTAATGCTCCCTGTCCTCTTCCAGTTAGGAATCAGCCAATTATTCAGCTGCTCAGCAGTGCTGCTCTTCTTCAAGAACTTACAACTGTTCTTGCAGAATTTATGAACTGGAGAGTAGTGGCAAACAATGTGCATCACCCCAAATGCAGTTTTCTGTTGAGCTGTACAAATGCTTCCAGCAGCACATCATGAGGGTCCTGTTTTTCCCAAAGCTTTAGGATGTTGTGTTGACATAAA